GATGGCCTCCAACCTGGTAGCGATGGCCTCCAACCTAAGAGCGATGGCCTCCAACCTAAGAGCGATGGCCTCCAACCTGATAGCGATGGCTGGCCTCCAACCTAAGAGCGATGGCCTCCAACCTAGTAGTGATGGCCTCCAACCATAATAGCGATGGCCTCCAACCTAATAGCGATGGCCTCCAACCTACTTTTGATGGCCTCCAACCTGCACATATCTATCAACTTGAGCCTTTTGCCTCTGAACTCATCTAGCAATTCCGTGGATTCCGTCTTCTCATGATGAAAACCTCTCTGGGAAGTGTGTGACAACTGTGTGTGACGCAAATCCACATAAAGCATCATCCTGAAAATGGACGTCAAATGTGTTCTGATGTCCTTGTTTATTGCCCACTGCCCACATTCTTGCTTCCAAGAGGCATTTCGGCGCAGGTGGGGAGCCCGTTTCCTCGCAACATGCTCTGAGTGATCCTCCCCAGCACATTCCAAGTTACTTGTTCTTTGCATGGTATTATGGCAAAGTAATTCTTGATCGAACACGTGGCACAGGAACAGGTTCGCTTGCTTGAAATCGCAGGCTGGGAGTTTTCTGCGTCCTTTACGGTATCTCGAACCATGATACCGGAACCCTGTCAAAAGAACCGTATGTTTGAGATGGAGTGATGGCGTCAAAGCCCTCGATGATGCTCCATGACTCCAGATTACCCGGCCTCTTTGCTGTGAAGGTCTAGCAATGCTGCTGGCATTGGATCTCCAAGCCTAAGAGTGAACAAAATGACTGGAAGCGAAAACCCACTTTCAAGATTGCGTATGCGCGATGGAGGGTGACTAGGGGCCACCATCTCTTGTAATTAATCCTCTTCCTTGTGTTGGCTGTAGCGTTCTCCAAAGAGGAAGAGAAAACAACTTTTAGTGTTTGCATGTTTGTTTGCAATCTCAGACAGGATGACGCAGGCCACTGCTCAAGCTCTTCGAACTCAGATCGAGACCCGTCACAGCTGTGGGGTCAGAGTCACACTGATTCCATCACATGTGTCGGTGACTCTCTACAAACAGGCAAACAACCCTCTTGATTCCCAAGGAAAAAACTCACATATATAACCATTACAAACCATCATAAACGATCACTTTTGATTTTGAACAAAAGAGCTTTTTGAAGTGGGTATCGGTATCGGAGCTCTCCATTGTCTTCGAGAATTTTCAAGCCGAGAAGCGTTCCAGGAGCAGCCGGGATTAGAGCAGGTGGGATCCTTGGTCTGTCGATCCTATCTGACCTGCACCTCACAGCCTCTGGACAAGTCTATTGTGGAACCAGTGGGTCTGATGAAATATCCACATGCATTTCTTAGGGTGCAAAACCTGTGAAGGATCAAAGGTTTGATAGCCAAGTGTCGAGTTCATGCTGCCCGGTGGAGGCACAAACTGCTGGCAGGCAACGCCTGCCCAACCTTGCTGGCACCTGCCATTGTATGGTGGTGCCACTCTGATCTCCACTGAGTTGAGACATGTGAGCCCATATAAGCCTATGCAGACCTCTCAATGTCAGGACTCAGGACGTCCTGCTAAAACCCGTGTACTTCTTCTCGAGCTAACAATGCACAATAATGTAGTATATATCTATATGTATCTATGATGTATCTACGACATACATGTCGTCAGGCCAGTCATGTTTATTCATCCTATGGTCAATCGATCAGTGTCACTCCTCAACTCTCAAATATATCTTTTTTGTGCCGGGCCTGCAGGTGCCAAGGAAGCAAGTACCGTGTTCAGAGCAAGCCTCAGAGCAAGCTGGAGGTGGATCACGAATGGCTGACCCTCTTCTGACCTCAATGCTTCCACAACTCGATTTTCCTCGCGGCACAAGCCCTTGCCCCAGGGGCTCGAACTAAATGAGTCAAGTGAAACATATTGTCTCACGACAATTCACCAAAGCCTTTCACAATCGAACCAATCCGGAGCTTCTTCCTCTTGATCCCCTCGAGCGAAGGCGATTTCATCTGGATCTGCGCCGATGAGCTCATCATCACTGTCGAAGGCATCGAGATGAGACGCCAAGGCAGGGCCGGCGGTGTGGGGTTGGGGTGACAAAGTAGCCATCACAACCGGTGCAGCTGCACGGCCTTGCCACCAAAGGCCGGTGGGCTGAGAAGACGCTCCATTCGGAACCGACACAGCTGTTCTATTTGGCAGCGCATTTGGCCTTGTCACATGTGGAGCTGCTGTTCCATTGGGCACCGGTGCAATTCCGTTGGGCACCTGTGCTGCTACTGGAGGCACAAGTCGCTGTGTGGCGGGCTCTGGCGGTGTTGGTGATGGCTGCAGAAATGGCGGCACAGGAGGTGCATCCCTTCGTGGCTGCGAATGAAGAATCTGTGCTTTTTGCTCTGCAGTAAAAAGCTGCAACTGGGACCGTGCAGGCTCTGTAGGTTCTGTCGTTTGAGTTGTGGGTTGAGTGGGACGAACCTGGGTGAGGTCGATGACATGTGAAGCCTGAGGTACTCGAGGTTGGGAACTCGAGGATTCTGGGAACGCATCAAACTCATCGAAGTCGTCGGGAGGACGCACTTGTTGCACTTGTGGCACTTCTATCGCGCGACGTTTGGCTCCCTGGCGCTGTGGACGTTTAGTCTGGGGCGATGCCGTTGGCGGTTGTGGTGTGGCACTCATCACGGTGGTTGCCTCTCGGATGCATACCATAAAAACGGCCCGGAAGTCTTCCACGGGGACGGCAGAGCCCATGGAAGCCACTGCAAAACTACAAACCACAGAACCCGAATCTTCGCCAAATCGAAGTTCCAGCAAGGCAGATCCACACATAACCCCCAGGCTGTCTAGGTCTCGTGCGAAGTACTCGCAAGCATGTGCAAAATCACGCAAGCCCCTCCCTGGAAATCTCACCTCCAAAGCAGCAGTGGGATCCAAGCTACATGCCTCTAAGTCTGACATCTGCAAAAGGACTTCAGTACGATGAGATCCTTCTTCTCGTGTACTCGTCAAATCTTCACTCTTCACACGCAAGCCCTCCGACGGGGCTGCGCCCAGTGTGACTTCCTCACTACCACCACTCCGTTTTGGTACACAGTGCAGCATCACTCGAGCCAGCAAACTCGGAGCTAAGGCCGCAGCATGTGGCCCTGCAACGGGTTCGTCTGGAAGGAAAGGCAACGTCTCCAACAAAGGCACTCCATGAGAAACGAACAAGCCACCGCGACTGGCAAACTCCAAGAAAATTCGTGGCCCACAAAGTCTGATGCGCAGTCCTCCTTCGGACTTCTGTTGTGCACCCGTCACAGGCATCAAAAGCTGCCTATCAGGGTGCACCAACAGCATTGCCTTTTGCAACACGCAACAGCATTGCAAACATATGCAAAAGGGGTGGTCCAAGAGTCTCTTCAGATCTTTCAAATAAGCCAGGGATACTTTTTGGCCAAACCAGCCTGGCAGTAACAACGACCTTGGTCTCCTTGCTGCTGTGTGAGCTTCGGAAGAGTTTCCCGCTGAACACAAAGTGCAGCACAGTCACGTGAGCATCGTCGGCGCCCCGGAGCCCAAGCTCCCCTTGGCGGAAGATCAAAGCTGCATCCTGGGTGAGTGACCCGTTCGAATGATCGGCATCGCAAGCCGTCCACAACGACCAACGACAACGTCAATTACAGGTGAGGCAACTCAGTTAGAAACTCCTGCGAAGCCCCTGTGTTGGACACAAACTCAGGAGCAAGGCTCCGAGTCAAACCATCCCAACGTGAAACCCCACAGATCCAGAATATGGAGAGAGGGTTGTTTCTCGAAAGATGAGGCCCCCAAACCAGCTGGCCAGAAATCCACCGCCAGGCTTTTGAACAAACGCCTCTTTCTGTCCTTCCCCAGCTTGCTGACGTTCTGCACCGCCCGGAAGAAGCTGCGCAACGACTGGGGGAAAAACTCGAAAGTCTGCGTCTCTGCCATGACATGGCCCTACCAACCGCGTTTGCGACTCGTCTCTGCGTCTCTAGCTCGGGTGGGACTCCAACCTTGTATAGCTTGGGTGGGATTGAACGATACTATCAGCCCCCTGATGTCCATGATACGAACTTTCAGATGGTTTTGTGTTCTAGTCCTCAGCAAGATCTGCATCGAGCGAAACTAGTGTGAAGTTCAGTTTGAAACCTGACGGTATGAGATGTTCTCAGATGTTGTGACATGTTGTGGGTCGGAGTTGGTCATGCCAATCATCTAATGCATGGCCTTGCTTGATCGATAGGGCACATAAGCCTTGAGAGTTCACCCTGCCAATCAAAACTGCGTGGCCACAAGGTGAGTACATGAGACCTGCCCCAAGGGCAGGTAAGCACAACAAAGACTACTCACCGAAGCTTAACAATTCACTGACCACTGAGGAACGAAGGACGATTTCACACGATCTCAAATACACTGTGCTATTGTGACACAACAGTACTAGGGGCTCCTGGCCTTACTAGTAACAAGAAGCTACTAGGAACAAGTGCATCGCTTCTCGTAACAAGTGCCTTACTAGTAGTAACAAGACGCTACT